AACACAAATCTAATTAACCAAGCCCACAATTTTTTACTGGAAAGCATCCTTGCCGCATGAGTCACTGAACGCGTCAGCCAGACTTTCTGGGATCTCACAGTGTTTCCGTAACATGTGGTGTTTTTTTGTTGTTGTTTCGATGGCCTCCGAGAAATTCATTGATGTGCAAGTTTGAAACTGCAATTCTTCCGAATTAATTTAATTTAAATGGACGCGAAAGTCCTATACAGATCAGAAAAAATGTATTCAACCCAGGTTCTTATTCTCACGTTTTTTTGCCAATTTTTGAAGGCGGACAATTTTTTTTTTCATACAAGTGAGTATTTTGAAATACATTGCATAAACCAATTAAATCGTCTTCGTATTTCTTCATAAAATTATCGCCATTTTTAAAGATATTTTTGTGCAACGATATTCTCCGATCAACCAATTGTTTTTTCCTTCTTCCAATCTTCTTTGAAGCGATTTCTGAACATTTGCAATGCAACCAAGAAGTTACTAACGGAAAACAAATCTCAAGTTACGGAAAATCATTTTCTGAGTTCGAGTTTTAAATTCATCAAAAATCCACATCTTCAACTTACTGGTAATCTTGCTTATGAAACAAGAAAATCATCTATAAAATTCAATTGAAATTCCCTGATCGAATTGATGCGGAGTTGAATGAAATGCTGTGCTTGAAACCTCTTTGATACAGACATCTTTTATTGCTGAAATATGCTGTACTTCTACACATTTTCTTAGAAAGAAGATATTCCAGTGTAAAAATGTGTTCTACGAACAAATAAGTGAGAAGGAGGATTAATTTTGCTGTGCTAATTAAATTTTAAAATGTATTATCTGTATATCATACCCTTGATTCCCTGCGTTGATTACCAGTAATTTAAAACATAAATTAAAATATTGACAATTCTTCGCGTCGAATTAATTGTGCTTCTCGGATTCTGTTTCATTTGCTTGTAAATTCAAGGTAACGTTCATTTTTATTGTGCATTAAATCAAGAAAAAAAAACAAGTGAGGTTGAGGCATCGAGAAATATTTCGCTGATAATTTCGAGTGTGAATTCGAGATGGAAGATAAGTCGATCATATACCCCTCCAACGTTAGAGAAAATGCGGTGTACTTCCAGGGTTTTTTTTTCACCTTTGCGGCTTTTTTAATTTGTATGTACGCTTCACATATTTGTCCTTGTTCTCTACAGCACAAACTGAAGCATGCAAATTTTTACGCATCTCACTCCCAGCGCCGTTTCCAAAATCTACTTACACGTGCCATCAGACAAATTCTGAAGGAAAAAAGTAAAACGAAGGCTTATTCTTATTCGGGCAAACAGGCAAAATAAATATAACGGGGTGGATTTTTGGCTTACGTCTTCAGCCTTTTGATGCGAAAAGAAGTTTGAAAGGATATCAATTCTTCCGACTTTACCGCGGCGGACAAAGAAGAGAAGGCGGTGCTGATCGATTATACTGTCTACAACCCAAAAGCCGCCAAAAAGGAAGGAACAAAATTCTGGTGGCGGTTTTCCGTTAAATTCTTCCTTGTTATTAAACGGGCCTCTGGTTCGACAGTTATATCAGCCAGCTCGTTTTGTACCTTGCTCCGCACCGGGTTTTCAAGCATGTAGACGATGTGGGGAGGATTCGCGTGTGGTCCGTTTTCTTTTCGGTGGCTGACGATCCTTTTTTCAGGATGCTTTCAACACCTGTTTTCTCCTGAAAAGACGACTCTGGTCTTGTGATTCATGGGATTGGATGCTGAGGAACCTGGGAACGGGAGGATATAGAAAGAAGCGTTCGAGGGAAGGACGGGCGCAGGGTTCGGAGTGTCATTTGCTGTTGCTGCTGTGAGGGAGTTGTGAAATCGGAGAGAAGTCATGTTCGCCATAATACATGAAACCCATGCGATTTCAATTTCATTCACAAATCGTTCTGAAGCTATCAAAAGCAGGTCCGAAGTTCGTAATTACAATGACACTAAAAAATGCAAGTGAATGAGCACCGCGTATTTCCTGGAAAGAAAGACACTCTCCTTTTTGTGCATGTAAATTTTTTCTATGCCAATGCGTGTACTTTAAGTCAAGCATTCCATATAATGTATTTAAAATCAGAGGCATATGCTGCTTGATGTGCTTGTTATACTATCTGATGATCTGAATTTTCCTTGAATTCCTATGTGCCTGTGATGTAATACAAAATGTGGGAAGTATTTAAAAAAATTAAAATTAATTTGTATACGAATATTTCCTTGACGCAAAATTAGTTTTCACTAGTGGTGCGTGAGACATCACTGTCCTCGCGTTTTTTGTGGTAGTTTAGTTTCTACGCGGGGAGTGAAAAACCCAAGTTTATGATCTCGCTTAACAGTGTACATTTGTAATTCACCTCTGTTTTATTTTCTCCAGGAAAATTTCATCAGCTTGTTGAGCTCTGATTCGGGATGCATTTTTCATCGTAAATTCATTGCATGGTTTCTGAACATAGCGAAGATGAAAAAATACCAGTATATTTAACGCAAACTTTCTAGGACAGTGGCACATTGCACAAGAATCCAAGAAGTGGGTTGCACATTATACTTTTTTACAAGTAAATTCTTATTGTGCGCATTTATTATCCTTGGATCACATTACAGATGAATTAAAAATAAAATAACTTCTTGTAATAACTTCAGTTGTTGTACAGTAATTTTTAAATTGTATACACATTAAAAAAAAATATTTGGTTGTGGGTCTTCGGATGCAAGAAGTTTTAATCAAATTTTATAGGTTCAAAGATAAACCTGCCCGTGTCTTGCAAGGGCACAATGGTATTTAATTAAACGTGGTTATACCCCGCAATAAAATGCATGTCTGATACTACACAATTTTCCTGGGATCAGTGCGGAGAACTGGTAAACGTTCTTGCTGATTGAAGTCATGGAAATAAGAAGAAGGGAAAAAATCAGTGCTTCCATTCATTCAAGAGCACCCCCAGCAGGTTCACTGCACATGAATCACAGCTGTGCATTGCAACAAGTGGAACATCCGCATGCAGGGGCTGATTAGCACCATGGGATCGGAAAGACCTTCTTCTTCCTTGGCTCACTTCTTCCCCCTGACAGGGCGAGAAAACCATGACGAATCCAAACGGAAGTTCTCGGATGCGCAACTGTCCGAGGTGAGCAGAAACATTGCGCCTTAAATCCCGAGGCATGGAATAATAGCTCTCCTTCTTCCCCTCTTCGCACCCATGGGAGGATTTATCCCAGAAAACAAGTGCTCCATGCCACCCAATAACTATTCAGGTGTATCCGAGGGTTTCTGCGAAATCCCTCGGGTATAGGACGCTTCTGGGACAGGAAAATAAATCCTTGCTCTGAGACACATTGGACATATGTCATGCTCACATGCACCAGATGAAAATGCCAAACAGAGGAACCAGCATATGCAGCACAACCAGAAACATCAAAACAACCTTCATTGGGAATGAAGAAGTACATGTGGTAGGTACCCTGCAATTTTGGACCCTAATCCATTGCTGGACTATAGCCCAAGTGGGGAGCTATTCTTGCTGTGACCCCACAGTAGGTGCACACCAGGGTCACAACTGGAGCATATGGGATATTCTGGGGGTAAAAGTGTGCACTCCTGTAGAGGAAATTTTGCTACCATTCCAGGGTTACACTTGGTGCACAAATGTGAATTAACAGGAGCATCACACAAATACACCAACTGTAACCTTGGTGTAACTTATTTGTTTACAAATGTGACCCTGAGTAATCCTGGTGTGAACACACAATTGGTGCATATTGAGGATACGTATGTGCAACAGAAGAACTTTGGTACACTTCAGGTGCACAGCAGGGTCACTGT